GTTTCAGTTACTATGTGTATGGTTCCATGGGTTCGAAGACCAATAAGAAGGCAAAGGTTTTGCAGAAAAAAAAAAAAAAAAAGAGAGAGAGAGAGAGACTTCAAAAAGGAGGTAACATTGAAACTGAACCTTAAAGAACGCAAAGTAATTCTAACTTTAGATCCAACACTAGAGTCATAATCTTTTCTTCCCAAGCCCTCCCCACCAGCCATTCCATATTGGTTGGTCTGCCCTGTTCATTTTTCTGGCATTGGGCTATTTATTTCCTTGTTCATTCCTGGAAGTGGGTATGCATTTCAAAACAGTGCATCATGTTTGAAGGCAGCCAAATATCACCTTGTCTTTTCCTGGTCTTCTAGAGGTTAAGCATCCATGATGCCTCTAGGACCTGATACCTGGGGACGGCACTCACCATTTTGACTAGTATGCTCTGGAAAGTACATCATTTTTTGGGGGGGGAGGGACAGGAGAGTGGGGTACCAGAGATGGAAAACTCAGGGACACTCTACCACTGAGCCATATCCCCAACCCTAGTTTGTATTTTATTTAGAGATAGGGGGTCACTGAGTGGCTGAGCACCTCGCTTTTGCTGAGGCTAACTTTGAACTCGTTCATAATCCTCCTGCCTCAGCTTCCTGAACCTCTGGGATGACAGGAGTAATGTAGGCAGGCACTTGGCCTACATCAAGTTTTTTTGTTTGTTTGTTTAATGCCCTTAAAATATGCCACACATGGGCTGGGGATGTGGCTCAAGCGGTAGTGTGCTCGCCTGGCATGCGCGGGGCACTGGGATCAATCCTCAGCTCCACATAAGAAATCAAATAAAGATGTTGTGTCCACCGAAAACTAAAAAATTAATATTAAAAAATTCTCTCTCTCTCTCTCTCTCTCTCTCTCTCTCTATCTTAAAAAAAAATATGTCACACAGAACCAGCCATTTTGATCTTTATGAAGTTGGAAATGAATCACAAGAAAGGAAATTAACATATAAATATTACACTCAAAAAATGCCACCAAAAATGTTTTTAATTTTGCCTCTTTTATTGTAGGATTGTTTTGGGTTTTCTTGTTTTTTATTTATTCATAGATACATTCACCACAATGTTATTATAAATTAATACTACATAATTAAATCAATACTATAACTAGTATATGATAATATAATGTATTCCAACATTTATTGGAATGAATGAACTACCACTAAATATATTTGCTATGTTACATATTGCTTAATTTACTATTGTAATAATTTAGAACTTGATCGATATAATATGAAACTCTGCCTTGTTACTTGGACAGTAACAGGTAAAAACAGAACGAGAAGCAAAAAAAAAATAATTTAAAGTTTTAATACTTCCACTTTCCTATCAGCTATTCCTCCTAGCTTTCTCTCATTTACTAATCAGATCAAATTTTTATTTTATTTTATTTTATTTTCCTGGTACTGGGATTGAACCTGGGGCGCTTAACTATTGAGCCACATTCCCAGTCCTTTTTATATTTTATTTAGAGACAAGGTCTCACTAAATTGCTTAGGGCTCTCTAAATTGCTGAGGCTAGCTTTGAAATCACAGTACTCCTCTCAGCCTCCAGAGCCTCTGGGATTACAGGTGTGTGTCACCATGTCTGGTGAGATAGACTTTTTATACTGGTTTCATTGTTGTTGAATTTTAGGTTTTTCCAAGTGAAAAAATAAAGCCAATGAGAGTGTTTATCTGAGCATTCCCCATGAGGACAGCATGTCAATCATTAACCAACCCACCTTAGGCTTCAGAAGATGGGACTCTACATACTATTAACCTCTCAGAGGTTCTCAACCTTATTCTAATAAGGTTATAAGAGATTGTTCCTAATGCTTGGCTGTAATCAAGAATGAACATGATTTGAATCAACAAATAGGAAGCCTCTTCAAAGGGGAGGTTTTATCTCTGTGTATCTAATAATCTAGTATTCCTCCTCCAAACAAACAAAAAACTAAATGCAATGCTTGTAGGAGAAGAGTCTGGACAAGGCTTGGTAGGGGTGTCCTGCAAGACATTCTTTCCTAAGCACTTATTAGCTCTCTAGTTGGTCATTTATCTTACAGCTCTGCCAGGAACTGACACTGTTGAGCTTACTTTAGATGTTGAGCTTTTAGAAACTGATGTTCCCCCTTAATTAGGACATTTATTCATCTCCATTTTTCTGGTAATTTCTCACAAGATCATGCGGTGACCCTGAAATCCTGGGTAAAAATCTCACTGCTACTTGGGATGCAGATTTATGCACCGGGAGGAAGCTAAGTGGTTTTTCCATATGATTTACAGCTCAGGCTTGAATTTACCCTAAGTAATGACGATTCCACACTCTCTAGATTCAAAGGCCGTTCTCAGATGGAGATGGGAAGCAAAGCGTGCTTATGTGGCCAGACTCCTCCACCTCCTCTGTTACCATCACCCCATCCTGCTCAAGCACTTCTGCATCCCTTTATTTCAAGCGCTGCTTTGAAAGCTTCCCTCCCGTCTCTTCTTG